CAAGAAAGCGAGCACGAGTATCACAAAATCTCTACCCGCCTCCGCAAAATGTTCAAGTACCTTATAACCCATATCCAAGCCAAGGGTATAGAAGGGAAAAAAAGTTGAAAGATAGTTTTACACCAATAGGAGAGTCCTATGCAAGCTTATTTGAGAAGTTAAAACAACATGACATAATTGCACCCATTCCTCCAAATCAAGTAGACCGGCGTGCGAGAAGCTTTGACTCATCTAAAAGGTGTGAATACCACTCCAATGCGCTGGGGCACAATGTGGAAAATTGTCGGGATTTGAAAAGAGAAATAGAAAGGATGATCCAGGAAAATTTGATTCAAGACAGTGGCACCCAGAATATCACGCTGCATCCCTTACATGAGGAGGCACACTTGGTGGGGATGATGCCCGGTGACATAGGGTATGAGAATCCTCTAGGGAACTTGTTGACTGAAGTTGAAGATACTGACGCAGATAGTGGTCATGGCAATATGGATGCGAAGCTTAGTGGCTAAGATGTTGTGCTTGGTAATTGGAAATACGCTCCATTCCTAAGTCAGCCGGGGAGGAGCTTTGGTGGTCCATTTTGCTGCCATTTCTGTTGTCCGGATTATTTGCAGGGTTGTAATCCGGATATTGTCTTGTGATCAAACCCTCTTATCCTTTCATTTTTGTCTAGCTTGTTTAGTCGTAGTGGTTCGTTTAGTGTTGTCCATGGGTGTTTCAGGTTCATTCTAGGGTTGTACTCCAGTTTGTTTGCTTGTTTTGTTATTCGAGTTATTTCATCGTTGTCTAATGCAAATTCCGGCCTTTTGTTACTTCCAATCATTGTTCTCTGTTTAGTTCTTTTCTATCGTTTTGTTTTGCCTTTTTCCGGTTCTAGTGACATGACATGCACGCATAATTCTCAGTCTGATCTTCAAAAGTTGCTAAGCAATGAGACCATTTTGAAAACGATAGGGGTACCTGAGGAAATAAGAATAGATTTGGATGTTTTGAGATTGTTTGACGCCCGAACCATGTGAAACTGGGGCAGATAGAATATAAAGAAACCCTAAAAACAAGTTGGCCAAATCGACAGGGGGGCCGGTCGTGGTAATAAGAGTAAGAGTGTTGCCCAATGGTGCATTATATTTGACAGATGTAGCAGGAAAATGTGTGAAAATGGCCATCAACTCCGAGACGGTCAGGATATACTATGTGTAATTTCTGTGCATTAATCGTATTGGTTTGCCTTTGGCATGTCTTGAGGATTGAAATGACGAAGGCGTTTTGTTCTACTATCCAAACACTTTTTTCCATTGTCACCCTTTTGAGCCGTGTTTATTTTCTTTCGTACCCCTCTTTCGGAATCAACGACACAATTAAGAAACGCAAGTGCCGCAAATAAGCAAATGAAAAGAAAAAAAAGGAAGGAAGGAGAAAAAGAAAAGAAAAGAAAAGAAAATAAAGAAAAGAAAAGAAAAGAAAGAAAAGAAAGAAAAGAAAAGAAAGAAAATAAAGGAAATAAAGGAAAGTGAAAGAAAAGAAGAAAAGAAGAACAGAAAAGAAAAGAAGAGAAAGAAAAAATCGNTAGAAAAAGGAAGGAAAGAGAAAAAGAAAAGAAAATAAAGAAAGAAAAGAAAAGAAAGAAAAGAAAGAAAAGAAAAGAAAAGAAAAGAAAAGAAAGAAAAGAAAGGAAAGTGAAAGAAAAGAAGAATAGAAGAACAGAAAAGAAAAGAAGAGAAAGAAAAAATCAAGAAAAAAAAGAGAAGTAATACCTCTGACGTGAACTACGTTTGACTTGATCCCGAAAGGGTACGTAGGCAGCCTCTCTGAGGTTCAGTCATACCAAAACAAAAATCCAAAAGTCCCCAAGCAAGAAACTGGATCAGAAATTGTTGTTGTTATGAGAAGTTGGATTCCGAAAGTTGTAATTTTAACCCATTTTGAAATTGTTTTGAGCCTTTTATACCCTTTCTTTCTAACCCATCCAAAAGCCTACATTACGGTCCAAACAAAGACCTTCTGATCAGTCTTTGATAAATGCCAAGTCAAGCAGGTAAGGTAATTCCTGTCAGGGGCAACACTCCGGTCCAAACAAGGAAAATGAAAATGAGAGAATCTTATTGATGAAAATCCTCATGGGTATCGCAAGGTGATGAAAGCTGAGAGAAATAAAAAATGAGAGAGTCTTATTGGTGAAAACCTTCACGGGCACCTTGAGGCGACAGTAAGTTGAGAGAAAGAACGAAATGAGAGAGGTTTGATGGTGAAAACCCTTTGGGGCACTACAAGCCGAATAAGGAATGCGAATCAAATTGGATAAGCGGAGCAATGAATCCCAGTTTCACGGCAAAAAGGAACAACAAGAGATGAACATCAGATTTGCTTAACAGAATAGGTCGCAGGTGCATGTCAAGGTCATTAGAGTCGGTATCCACATCCGATAGGTTTCTACTGTGTAGTTTTCTTGTTAGGAATCATCTCTTTCTATTTGTCCTTTATTCTGTTCCTTTTGTTTTGTTTATGTCCCATTTCTGAGTCTTTTGGTCGTAACAAGTGTGGAATGACTTCAAAATTTTCCACCAGCTTTCCAATTGCACAAAATGGGGTCACAAGTCAGGAAAAATAACAAGAGCACTAAGCTGGTAATAATCAACATACTTTGGGATCCTTATGAAACACAAAGTTTGGTAGATGTCGGTTCAGGAATAATGCAACAGATAGAGGGTGGAGGCCAATTCGAGGGGAAAGGCGTCACGAGTTAGAGAATTAGCCGGTTCGAGGTGAGTAATGATTGTAAATGATGTCCTGAGGGTTTGAGACCCTGGATTGCACATCGTAGTGCTATATTGAGGTGAGACACGTGTTGGATGATGAGCGTGTGGTCTTTTACTACTAGGGATTGTGACTTGGATCCGTCCCGATTGATGATTTTTACCGTGTATTTGACTGAAATTTTATTTGTTATCATCATGATTTGGGCTGATTGCCATATTTGGGTTTCGTGCCAACTACCTGAACCCTTCGGGGATTTTAACTGATTTTCCTCGCTATACTTGTTAAAAATCATATCCTCAGTCATGTTTCTATATGTTTTAAACGATTCGAGCTGGTTTTATCATACTATTCCTAAATGAGAGGAATTTGTGGGCTGAGATCCATATCTCCTGTTATTGTGCCCGAGAGGCTGTAAGGTTAATGACTGAGAGGAGTTGAGAACCCAGTGGTGAGGATATTATATATGTTATGGATCGGGCTGCACGCCGCAGTAATACTTATATGGATCGAGTTGCACGCTGCAGTAATATAGCGCTTGGGCTGTAGGAGCCCCTCCGGAGTCTGCACACCCCCAGTGAGCGCAGTCGACTATCCATATGGATTGGGCTGCACGCCGCAGCGATGTACGGATCGGGCTGCACGCCGCAGCGGTTATTTTGATTGTTGTTATTATGAGAGATACATGGGTCGAGAGCTGAAAATGAGCACTAGTGATGAGAGTGAGCCCGAGGAGCTGATATTGTTCTGAGTGATTGATACTGTGCCCGAGGGGCAGATTTCTACTCGTTATTTACCTGCCAAATTACTTGTTTTACCTGATTTAAAGAGATTTCACTTGACTTCCTCACTGATTTACTGTTTTACGTGATTTTTACTGCTTTGATATAGAATTGCTTTGTGCCTTACGTGTTTTCATGCTTTCAGCCATTATTTATAATTATTACTCACTGAGTCGGAGTACTCACATTACTCCCTGCACCCTGTGTGCAGATTCAGGCATCGCAGAGTCCGCTCTTGAGTGTTGATCCTCCCAGTCCAGGTAGTAATTCGGAGACTACGAGGTAGCTGTTGGCGTCCGCAGCCCCGTGCCTCCCTTATCTTATCATTTTCATGTTCTTAGAACTATTGTATCGAATTTAGTGTTCAGTAGACTTGTATCCGGATTTCTTAGTTGCTCATGATTTGTGACACCCCGGTTTGGATTGTGTCGGAATGGTTCTTACTGAGGTTATCGTTAATTCCGCAAATTAAGGATATTATATCATGCTTTAGAACTATTTATGATATTTAACTGTTTAAAAGAGGTGTTCTGCTTGGTCTGGCTGGCCTTGTCTTCACAAGAGGCGACATCACGACCGGATTTAGGAATTAGGTCATGACATTTTATATAAAAGATGTTATATAAAATATTAATAAAGTCTTGTTAGTAAATCTAATTTTGAATTGGATTAGTTAATCCAGGAAAGTCCATATGGACTTGTTGGCAATTTTGAACCCATTTGGTGAACTAATAAAAAGGTTTGATGAAACTTTATTAAGTGAATTCCAATTGAAATTTGGATTCACGTAAAAGTCCATAAAAGGATGTCTGCCACCTCCAATTTGGTTTCATTGTTTTCAATAGAAAATTCCAATGTTTGGAATTGGACTTCAAGGAAAGTCCGTGAAATCGACAGTAACGTTGCCTATTGAGAATGGGATTACGAATTCTTCCTAGAAAATTCTATCAAATTTATTTTTGGAACAAATTCTTACCCTAAGTAAATCATTACCTCAACCGGATAGGAAAAGAGTTTGTAGGTGATACTATATAAAGGGTGATAGAAAAAATTTTCCGCATTATTTTTCTTAAGAAGAAAACCTACTTTGTGAAAGTGAGAGTGCAATACAAAGCCAAGAGAGAAAATACAATTACAAGAAATTATTTCTTGTTCTTCTAACATTGAGTTGTTTTTGAGAAAAATTTCAACACAATATTTTTCGTTCAATTTGTTCGCGGGTTTCGTTGATCAAAGAGTTGATAGCAAGGATCGGTCTCGGTGTGGATAGGCATGGAGTCTTCGCACTATCGAAGAATTTGAAATGAGACTTTCTTCACCAGGTACGTCTTAGATCCGATCTATTGACATGTAAATAAATTTTAAACACAAAAAGATTTGCCTAGGATTGTTATTATCTTCCGCTGCGTGTTACGAACACCTATATACAATCCTTCAATGACTTCAATGGTAAGAACTAAAAGGTTAAATCCATCAAGTTTAAATTATAGATCATGTTCTGACGAACATATATATCTTCCTTTTAATTAATCATATCCAGAGAGGCTGATCCCAAAATTGTTGTTCTGATCATCTAGGAAACTCATGCCACTTTGGAAGGCGTTATGGACAAGTTCGGATGATGCTGGTGGAGATTGGTCCATTTCCAAGTAAAGAAGAGCCATGAGGTTAGCTTGTTGGCACTGCATATTGACAATCTCAGCTTGTGCTTTGGCTAATTGTGCTTGGAGCTCATTCACTTGCTTTTGAAGTTGACAAATAGCACCAGCAGAACCATAAACTGGATCTCTCAGTCTAGCGTTAGCCTCGTATACCATACTGCTCACTGCATCTGCTCTTTGAGATTCCGGCAATTCCTAATTAAAATTGAAATATGATAAGTAGTACTCCCTCCGGTCCAAAATAAGTGATTTTTTGGTGTGTTTTTTTTTGTGGTCCAAAATAAGTGATTTTTCCATATTTCAAGAATGAATTAATTATTTTTTTCCTACATTGCCCTTGGAGTAAATAGTATTCGAGTATGTGTTAGGAGTGTTTTTGTGAAGATATAGTAAAGGTTAATATGGTCAATTTCACTGCTAATTAATATTAAAAAGTGAATTTCTTAATCTGTATGAAAACAGCTAAAAAATCACTTATTTTGGACCGGAGGGAGTACTAATTAGATTAAGTCAATGGGGAAGAATAATTGGTCCAAAATCATTGGTTGTTCGAACAACTAATGGAATTGTGAGAGAGAAAATATTGGTTCTCGTTATTTGTCACAATAAGACATGAGTAGTTGGTAGCTATATAAGTCAATGCACGAGCAAAAAAAAAAATGAAACTATAGCTACAAGGAAAAGAAAAGTAATGTGGTTGTTGCTTCTCATTATAATAGTATATCCAAAGGCTTTGAATGCATGTTGACCTTAAAATCAGTTCGCTCCTCTAGACTAAGCAATATTATTGGGGGTTCACTATCAAATTCTGGCTGTTTGGCTAGGCTCTTATTTTCCACTTGGAACTACCATAAATACTACGTACTTAATACTCTCACCTAATATTAAAACATGTCTCCTATATTTGCCTACTTGCATTTTGACCCAAAAATAAAAGAACCGATACTACTATGGTAACTAAATATTGGAAAAGATAAGAGGGTCAAACTGGAATTAACACAAACAGAGTGATTATAAACTTGCCTCTCGAGTAAATTAAATATATTGGAGGTTTACCATTTAGCGACAAAAATTATAGGAAGTATATTAATGTGACTTGAAAATCCCGTCTACTTGAATTCCAAAGGTAATATTGAATTATTAATATACAAAAAGAGGAACAAGAAGTAACAAGTGCGAAGATTTTATACCTGCAAGAACTTGATAATATTGCTTGCACCGAAGACACGATGAGCAGTGGTGAACTTGATAGGGTCGTTGGGAGGAAAATAAGGTGCCAACACACATTTCTCTGCGCATCTCCGCCGTAATATCTTACAGGCAGCACAAGGTGTGACCACCACCCGCGGCGGAGATGGTGAGCTACGTGACGGCGACACGAAGCAAGGAGACAACGGTGTTTTGGTAGTGGTGACTGTTCTGCTTGACTCCATGTTTTCTTTGTAGATGTTTACGTGCAAGGAATAAATTAAAGCAGAGAAAGAGGAGAGTAGTAGGGGTGTTCTAAAACAGATTAGAGTGAAGGGAATATATATAAGCCCAAAATAAAGGTGAGAGAGCGATGACATCATAATTAGTAATATGACATATACATTTTCAAGTAAAAACCCCTTTTTATTAGATTTTTGCATTGTTATTTTGGTTTTACCTCATGACTCGTCACTATCCATAATTTAAAGTTAATGGGTTCCTACAACAATCTCAAGTTAATATACAATAGTTTATAGATTCACAATATAATATTTATAGATATTTAATGAATTTTTTTGTATATATACAAGGTATGAACAAAAGTTACTAGGTTCCAGTGAACCTGGTCTTCATACTCTAGATCTGTCCCTGCTTTTATCAGGTAACAATTCATAATTGTAATAAATAAAAATTATTCTAATTATCTTTTAAATGATCTGATAATATAATTGTTCTCGACAAGTTTAATGCATGGAGAAAAAACTCATATCTTTTTTATTGGTTGAGTGACTGCGGCGATCTACCGTTCTCACAACTATTACTCCTACGGGTTTTTTCGTTCACAACCAATCCTAGATGAATTACCTATCTTTGGCTCTCTCTTTTTTTTTTCTTCCCCTGTACGTCAAAACTACTCTTTGATTATGCTTTAGCCAACTTTCGAGAATTTATTAAGCACTACTTTATCGAATTAGGGGTTAATTGGAAGGCTTATTCACAAAATTTTGATCAAGTGGTTTTCAAGGAATCATCGAAACACGAAATGCACATTGAGACAAAAAATTCTCCAGCTTTCCTGGACTTAAAAGTCGCATTAGAAGTCAAACAATATGAGTCTAACTTAGAAAATACATTAGCTACTTAGAAAACTTTGGCTCTTTTGGCTTCTAATTATATGACGAGTAAAACGCGCTAAAATTAGATCATATCAGCCAGAATTCACAATTTAGAAACTAACTTATCATCTTGCAATATAATTGTATTGGAAAAAAACTGAATCTAAATATTGAAGATGACGTGTCATGACACATGGACTGGTCAAAAGGTCAAAACGCAATAAATAGCCAAGAGACACGGGAGACAACAGATATGAGGAGAAGAAAACAACATAGGTGTGGACCGTTACTCAAATAGGTACGAGTCTCGTACCTATTTGAGTCATTTAAAGACCGAAGATTGGAAGAAGGTGAAGATACGAATCTGATGACGTAAAAGAGTCTAAATACAGCATTAAATATCAAATACGTTAGAGAATCTGAATTAAATAGAAATGATTGTGTAACGTTTCTTTTAATGTCATTTATTGCTCATAATTGCCTCATTAAGACAAAGGCATTACATCTTCTCCTAGAATCAACTATAAAAGGAGAAGGACTCAACATCTGTAAGGACAAGAAATATTATTGAGATTACACTGAAATACAAAATTACTTATTACTTTATTATTCTCAAAAGTCTTTTATTATTTTCGTCTCCAGATTATCAGTAACCCGAATTTCTCCATATTTCTAAGCTTTGACCAAAGACTCAGATTTTTGGTTAAACAAATTGGTTCCGTTACCGGGAATCTGATAATCTTCTCTTTTAAGCTACATTCCAGCCGTGGTTATCATCATGTCAAACAACAATAACAGTGAAAATACCTTGGGAAACTATGAAAATCAAATCCATCAAAATCAAGGAGATTTACAGAACATTGACGTGGTTCCCTCCCCTCAAATTTCACCACGTCAATCTCGTGAAGGCACTCCTGCTCCTGAATCTCGTGCTGATCAACAAGAGCAATCTGAACATTTTGAAGGGGTAGATGAAGCTTTACAAAAAGTAATTGATGCACGGGTTAACAAAGATCTTCAGGCTCTAGTTAGTCGATTACCTGTTGCACCACCCACACCTACACCTAATAATAATACATTGGAGAATCCTCGTTCTGGCCTTGTTAATTCTGGAAATGGAGGAACCCCCAGTGAACCACAGGAAGGAGAACCAGGTAATTCAAATAATTCTCATTTGCAAAATTTAGTATTAACTTTGCAGAAACAGCTTAAGGAACAAAATGAGCGCATCGAGCAAATCCCTGGAGTTCCCCCTGTAATTAAAGGAGTGGATGTGGATAAATACTCACAACAACCTTGGAAACCAAGTGTTGCTCCCCTTCCAATCCCTAAAAAGTTCAAAATGCCTGACATCTCGAAATATGATGGCACAACAGACCCACGTGATCACGTAACTGCATTTACAACAGGCGTGAAAGGCAATGACTTGACCAAACAAGAAATTGAATCAGTACTGGTCAAGAAATTTGGAGAAACACTCACCAAGGGCGCATTAACCTGGTATTCTCTTTTACCCGAAAATTCTATTAATTCTTTTGCTGAGTTTGCATATTCTTTTATTAAAGCACACTCGGGAGCTCAAAAAGTTGAGAAAAGAATGGAGGATATTTTCAAAATCAAGCAAGGGGACTCCGAGTTGCTCAGAGATTTTGTTGATAGATTCCAACGTGAAAGAATGACTTTACCTCGTGTACCTGATAACTGGGCTACAATAGCTTTTGCAAGCAACTTAAATGACAAAAGCTCAGAAGCCACGAGAAGACTTAAAGAAAGCCTTCGAGAGTTTCCTGCAACCACGTGGAATGACGTTTATAACCGGTATAGTACGAAGTTGCGAATTGAGGAAGATACTGTACCTCAGTTTCTTCATGAAGAGAGGAGCAATTCCAGGAGATCAGAAATCGAAAAAAGATCAGGTAAAAACAGGTACGATCCATATATGGGACCTGTAGGGAGAGACTTACGGTCAAAGCAGGATAGTCAACGATATGATCAAAAATCGAGGAACAAGGAATTTGGTTCTTCATCAAGGTTCAGAAATGACCGAAACAGACAAGAGTCACGAGATAATGACAGTAGTTTAAAGGCAAGGTTCGGCGGATATAACTTTAATGTCAAGCTCGTAGCTGTTTTGAGGAGCATGGGAGATAAGGTACGATGGCCAAAAGAGATGCGGTCAAATCCAAATAGACGCATCCAGACCATTGGTGCGAATCCACAATGATCACAGGCACAAAACTTCAGAATGTAGATTCTTACAAAGTGAAGTGGACCATCTATTGAAACAAGGGTATCTCACTGAATTATTTAGTGAAAAAGGTAACCAAGCATATATGAAAAATAGGCAGGAGCCACCAAAGCCCCCTTCACCCAAGAGAACCGTGAATGTTATAAGTGGGGGTGAAAATATTCACGGTGTAACATATACGGCTTCCAACAAGGTTTCTAAAGTAACGATAACACACGGGAAATGGGTACGACAGGTTTTAGAAAACGAAAGTATTTCTTTCGATGATGCAGATACCGAAGGAGTAATAACCCCACATAATGACGCACTGGTAATATCTTTACTTGTATATGATACTAATGTAAAACGAGTTTTGATTGATACAGGAAGTTCCGTGAATATTATACTATTAAGGGTATTACGTGAAATGCAATCTGAAGACAAAATAATACCTAAGGCGCATACCCTATCCGGGTTCGACAATTCAAGTGTGGTAACAAAAGGAGAGGTAATTCTAACAACTTTTGTTGTAGGTGTTGTTAAAGAAACTAAATTTCAGGTAGTAGATATGGAAATGGCTTACAATATGATCATGGGGAGACCTTGGATCCATGATATGGATGCTGTCCCATCAACTCTACATCAAGTTATTAAATTCCCATCACCGTGGGGAATTTGCCAAATTCGTGGGGATCAGCAGACAACCAGAAGTATCAACGTTGTAATAGATACGAGCACCGTAAATAAAGAAAAATAGCAATTACAGGAAGCAGTTGAAGGTATCAAGGATCAAACCTCAACCGAACAAGAAAATACAGATTTAGACGCGAGACCTGATACAATTCAAAAACCTGAAGAGAATGAAGATATCAAAACAACAATTGAAGAGCTCGAGGCTGTGATATTATTTGAGCAATGGCATGAACGGAAGGTTTATGTTGGAGCCAATTTAAGCTCAGACATGCGAGGTATGTTGATTGAATTTTTAAAAGCTAACGTGTTTTGCTTGGTCCCATGCTGATATGACAGGGATACCACCGGATGTGATGACTCACAAACTAAATGAAGACCCATCCTTCACACCAGTAAAGCAAAAGAAAAGAAAGCAAGGAGCTTTCAAAAATCAGGTGATTCAAGATGAGGTCCAAAAGCTATTAAAAATTGGGTCAATACGCGAGGTAAAGTATCCTAATTGGTTAGCAAACACAGTTGTTGTACCTAAGAAAAACGGTAAGTGGCGGGTTTGCGTGGATTATACAGATCTTAACAAAGCCTGCCCAAAAGATTCTTTCCCTTTACCGCATATAGATCAGTTAATTGATGCAACTGCAGGACATGAACTTTTGAGTTTTTTAGATGCATATTCGGGGTACAACCAAATTAAAATGGACCCCAGTGACGAAGAAAAAACTTCTTTCATCACAGACAGGGGGACTTACTGTTATAAAGTAATGCCCTTTGGTCTCAAAAATGCTGGAGCAACCTATCAAAGGTTGGTCACCAAAATGTTCCAAGAACATTTAGGAAAAACCATGGAGGTATATATAGACGATATGCTCGTCAAAAGACAACATTCTCATGATCATATTTCTCATTTATCTGTTACATTTGAAATTTTACAAAAATTTAATATGAAACTCAATCCAGAAAAATGTGCATTTGGGGTTGCCTCAGGCAAATTTTTGGGGTTTCTCGTTTCTAACCGTGGTATTGAGGTAAATCCTTCTCAGATCAAAGCAATAGAGAAGATCCCCGATATCCTTACGAGTAAAAAAGAAGTCCAAAGGCTAACGGGAAGAATCTCAGCCTTGGGGAGATTTATTCCCAAATCTTCAGAAAAATGCTTTAAATTTTTCTCCGCACTCAAAAAGCAAGATCATTTTGAATGGAACGAAGATTGCCAACAAGCCCTTAGAAATTTAAAAACTTACTTGTCAAATCCACCACTATTGGCAAAACCAA